CCTGCTCCTCTGATGCTGCCTGGCCTGCTGTGTTTATTCAGCTCCACACCTTGTTATCTCAGACTCCAGGATCGGCAGTTCCTACGATCTGCTTTTCAGCAAAGCCTGTGTTTCTGCAGATAGTTCCAGAACATTTTGAAAGTTCTTTCATTGCAGGCTGATAGGTCACTTACAGTTTCACTGTTCGCCACAACTCACCCCCCTACCGGATTTGTCCTGAAGCTGATGCCTCTTCACTAAACTGCACCCTGTAGCTGGTCCACAATTCAGTCTCCGTATCTTCATTCACTGACAGGAAAGGCTCATACACCGTGTGCGAACAACCTGTTTCCTCTTTTTCTTTCTCTCTCTCGCTCTCTTTCTCTCTCTCTCTCTGCCTCAGTCTCCTCAGCTCCCGTATTATCCTGTTGTTTAACCCAATCTGGGGAATACGGTGCCTATGAGTCAGCAGTTGATTAAAACCACAGGAGACTGGACCAATCTCAGGATAAAAGTGAAGTCTGTTTTTTGACTGCAGATCCCTGAGTCTCTGAAGGTGTGGGTGCCGTGAACTGAGAGAGAGAGTTAAAACCAACAGGACTACTGTCAAACGCTGGAGCCTTTTGGGAGAGATGGTGTGCTTCTTTTCTTATGCTAATTAGTTAATTAGGGTAATATTTCTTTTGATGACTGGCACATGCTTGGCTTTCTGGTGAGAGAGAGTATGGAACAGCAATGAAGGAAGATGAATCAGATAGCCCAGCACTGCAGCCAAGAAGATCTGACATCTGTAGTTTGGTCCTCAGGGAACAAGGTGACCACAACCAATGTAAGCTTTGTCACTCTGCTGTTCAAAGATCGAGACCAGAGACGGGAGAGGTGAGAGGAGACAGTGTAGGGGAGGGGAAAAGGAAGGGGAGAGCAGAAAGGAGAAGGCAGGGGAAAGAGGAGAGGGACAAAACAGGATGGGAGAGACGGAAGGGAAAGCCCAGAGAAGGGATGGGAGTGTAAAAAAAGTGTTTTGGTGAGAGGAGGGTAACAGCAGGAGAGAGGGGAGATAGGGCATTTCCGTCCAAATCTAAATTTAGAAGTTTAGCTTAGTACTCATTACAAGCCCTGCATTGGCTGATGTACTGTTTGGTTTCATTTTTAACCATGATATGGAGGTGCAGGTGTTGGACTGGGGTGAAAAGTTTGTGTCTTCAAATAAATCTGTTGGACTATAACCTGATGTCTTGTGAATTTTGACCTCATTTTTAGCCAGTAGAGCAATCACTTGCCTTTCTCAGACTTGAGTCATTTTCTTAGCAGTTTGCATGGATGTGCTTTAGCATCTATTCTACCAGTTCTTTTGGGATAATGACTCTATTTCCCATGTATAATATACCATCTTGGGCTATCTCTATTTTCTCATTAGTTTTTAAAACAACAGGTGCACCCTTATTGCTATCAGAGCATCCTTTTTATTACTTTTATCACTGCAACAGTTGGAGATTTGCATCTTGTTGGATATTTTGCTTGATTTGAGCAAGGTGTTGTTATGAAGCAGAGGTCCACCCCCCTCCCTCTGATAACTAAAAACAAAATACCCAGAGAGACTCGCCTTATCTCATAACCTGTTAAAAGAGGTGTGAAAAGTGGTGTAACCTGCCTCTCACCTCCCAATCTGTTATAAAGCAGCAGTTAAATGAAATGAACTCCTGACAATCACTCTGTAATCAACAAGTAACAATTTAATTATCTAACTTTAACAGTGAACAAATTAACACAACTACTTATAAACTGAACAATTCCCCCTTAATTACTAACTATTCAAAATAAAACAAAATTCTAATGGTATGCTATTCCAATAAATACAAGTCCCACTTACATAAACCAAAATTTTTAAACAAAACCAAAACTTAATCTCTCGAAATTACAGCCAGGATTTATCTTCTGCAATGTTCTGTGCCTTCTCCGCTGATCTTTAGTCAGGAGCACCTTTGCCCATCAAATTCTTGTGTCAGGAATATTAGCTAAGACTGCCGCTATATCTTTAGTCAGATGATGGTCACTGTGAGAGAATAGAGAATTCCATGAGAGCCAGTAATTTTCTCTTTAGAGCTGATGGGTTGTTAACTGTATTAGATGGCAGTTGCTCTCACACCGATTTTCAAATGTCCTCTTCTTTTATACCATTTATGACCTATTAACTTTTTACAATAGTATTGGTCCTGGGTTTTCAAAGCTATAAGACTTAAAATTAATTGCTTTTTAGTTTCTAAGTGCTTGGCTTAAATTAATTGGCTGATTTTCAAACTGGTTGCCTTAATAACAAAACAAACTACTGCCTGGATAAGTTAACCACACAGCCTTTTGATATGTTTCAATTTCAGGAGCTCTCTGTACACCTAAAAATTTTTAAAATCTCCATGCTTAGAAAAAACACATCATCTTTTAAAGGGACCACACTCTTCTCACATTTCATTTTACAAACATCAAATACTGTACTCAACATCACAACAGTGTTTTCTTTATAATCCAGGGAATGATGAGCTGCTGCTTCTTATTGAATCTAGAAAGTTTCATGCTCTGTAGTAACAACCTCCATTTTTTTCATTAGGAGTGCTGCTCTTGACAGCATGTCTGCAATTTGTGTCTGCTTCCTTTGATAGTATGTCATATCCAGATGATATCTCTAAACTAGAGTAATATTCCTTGAAGATGTTTCAGTGCACAAAGAAGTGATTTCAGGAAAATGCTCTGAAGGGACTTGTGGTTGGACTTGACTGCTATTTTGTCTCTCGCGTGTTTAGTTGTCTAGACAGCTGGTGTGTGATACTGAGTTACAGTGACAACACAAGTTCAATTCTGTACAAGCAGAGGGCACTATGAAGACCCCACCTTTCCAAACTCATCCCTTTTCTGAGGCCCTGCTATCTTCAAGATAAACTCACTACGTTATCTCTCACTATGAAAGAGCACCCAATGATTTTCTGGGATTATGGCCACTTTCATTCTCTAAGTTGATATTGTTGAAAATATTCACAAGATAAACAATAGCCAGGCACTTTCTCAATCTGAACTTAGCACCATTCAGTTTACAATAATGCCCCGGATGTCAGTGTAACCAATTTTCCTTGCTGCATTAGAGTTGCTCTAAGTCTTAGTTTTGTTGGCCTCACACTACAGGGTTACCAGCATTTATATTGTAGTATTTCAGAAGTGGCATTGATGTCACTAGTTGCTTGATTTTATTGAAGGCGCTTCATGTCCCATGCCCAAAGCCACCACGCATACTTGGCCATAATGTGGTGTAATAGTTCACATTCTCTTGTCAGAATGGGCAAGAATGTTGCCAAATAGTTAAAAAATCCAATAAATCATCAAAATACTATTACATCTGTTGGGTCATTCCATCACTGTTACAGTTAACACCTTTTCATGATCTGGAAATGACCTTATGCTGTCAGTACATGACTGAGGTGCTTGAGGTCAGGCATGTTTAAATGGAATTTTTCTGGATCAGCGATCTCTGTCAAGCAGTTATGCTGGATTTTAATTGTGGGCTGTGATGGCTTCTTTCATAATGTTTCCATATCCACACATTAGCAGATTATCCACAACATCTTTCACTCAAGAAGGATTACTAACTCTTTCTTAATGTCTGTGTTTATATTCCTCTGGAACCATGGAAGTGCTAAACAGCACGTTTGTATCTATGTCTCCTGAACAGTATCCAGAATGTTATTAGGGAGCTGAGGCTTTCAACTGGCTTCACTTGTCAGTTACCATCTTTTGCACCTAGGTTACTTAAAACTTTTGCATTTCCAAGTTGTGGCAAAATTCTTTTGATGATTGGCATCTATTGCCATGATTGACATGATTAAGATCTATTCGGAGCTTTGTTTTGATCCTTTACATTGATGCATACTCTCAGTGGAGTGAGAATGCTACTTTAATGGACGTCTTTTTTTCACTTGTGTGATGTCACATCAGGTTCAAAGCATGCCTTGAAGGCTTTTCAAATTTCTGCAACCTGATTTATTTTGTTCTTTGGAAAGAGTTAGGGTAGAGTACATGTTGTAGCAGTCTCTCATAAAGCTGTAGTTGCTCATGGCTGATATTGTTTGCTAATTAAGTCTGTCGCAATTTCATAATTTTGACACTGAGAGTGGAAAAAACTGCCAGTTCTGTTTCGTATCACTTCTCATTTTAACTGGCAATGGGAGAGGAAAGTCTGCAGCCACACGTTATTTCAGCTGTGGACATTCCTGTAACGTGTCTTCGGTAGTTGTACTTCTATCCAGCTCTTCAACACTGGGTCTCAGCTCCACTCTGACAGCCTGTAACAAGATCAAGGTGCAACATACTTGCTTGTTTTCTGTTTTCACTGAACAAGGCACTTGATAAGTACCTGCAGTGAGTGCCTCGTGGCACAGGACACATGACTATGGCAGGCTAGGAGGCACATGAGTACAGTATTACATTTCTATCCCTGGCATCATTGGAATTAGAGTGGGTTTAACACCTTGAACCTTTCCAGGATAGCTATTCTTTTTATTCACTCACAAGATGTCGCATTGCTGATTGGGCCAACATTTGTTGCGCAGCCACAGCATCAGGACTCCTGTGGTTCAAGAAAGCAGGTCATCATCCCCTTCGCAAGGGCAGTAAATGCTGGCCAACCAGTGACATCCCCATCCCATAAATGAATAAAAAAAATTGCCCTTGAGAGGACGGTGGTAAGGTACTTTCTTGAGCCATTGCAATCCATGTGTTGTGGTAGATGTACAAAGTAAGAGAGGGAGTACCAGGAGTTTGAACCAGACTCTAGCCTAGAGTTGGGGACTTTGAGTTGGATTCCAGACACCATGTAGTTGTCAACTGTTCAGACAATTCTCAAGGAGCCAGTGTGTCGGGACATTCGAGAGGTATATCCAGTTTCTGACTATCTGGAGTCCAGAGGGTCTGGGCCAGAGATTCAGCTTCCTTGACCTCCCAGATGCCTCTGCCCAATGTGTCAGGTTGTGGCAAATAACCACGACCCACAGGAGACCTGCTTGCTAGTGGACCTGATCACTGAACATCACCAGTGGCTGCTGTACATCATTTGACACAATTTAGCTCCCATTCCATGAGTCTGCATTCACAGAATATATATTTGTTTATTTGATACTTTAACCATTCAGGCAATGGATTACAAACTGGAAATGTAACCTTGGGAAATGCTTATCAAGCAACAGAGATAATATTTGACAAAACTAGACAATGACATTATTGACTGTCATAGGTTTTGTTCCCCAGATCAGCTCGGGATGCGTTGAGACAGCTGGTCTTTTCTCTTACCATCATTTCTGAGGTCTTCAACTTGTCAGTTTCAACCTGATATGCTACTCTGGCCCCAATCACTGGTGTTCAGGAACTCTTGCCAATCCACAGCCTGTGTATGTGATTACACAGCTCTCTGATAGGTCTCATTGAAACGTGTCTCATTCCAATAATCTGATTAATTGCTGCAAGATCAGTCTCTGCTCGGGTATTGAGGGTGATGTCCACATTGTAATGTTGCAGCTAAATTAAATCTTCAGACAACCACACTGGCACCTTTTTTGTAGGTGCTAGCCGGATTCTTGATTACCATAAGGAAGAATTG